TCATAGTTTTGTTCTGACTATGGAGGGTAGAGGAAAGGAGAACAATCTCTGTATACAAAAAGTGTCCCCTCAAAATGTATACAATTAAAATGGCGCTTCTGTGCCAAGGGGACGTCGACAGTCGATAGTTCAGATCACACAATGACAACAATGATGTATATAGTAATAAATATTGCTCAACCATAAAAAACTAAAAACTACACCGTGAAAAGTGACTGATCGTAGAAGAGTAAGTGTTCTGTGATCGTAGATAAATTTTGACAATACACGACAATAGTCAAATTTTATTGAAAAATAATAATATAAACAATAAATAATTCTTATATTAAAATGGCACGGAGGTCTCAATTTACTGCTTCCTGTCTGATTTCATTATGAATGAGCAATCTATATGACTATATAGCATTGGATTTTGTCCCCTGGCTACACGAGCCCCATCTTAATTGTATACATTTTGGTGGCCACTTTTTAATATAAAGATCCATATAAGCTTGTCCTCCTTTTCTCTACCCTCCATAGTTCTGACTTTCACAAAATATTCTGAAATCCTATCATTAATATCCTGTCATATTTTCCAAAATCTAGTCTACTACAGGGTAAAATCTCAGGTTATTTTTTCTACACCTACATTGGTTAGCTTATACTACACACAGACTATAAAACGTTTAAGCGTTTAATTAAACGAATATATTCAATATCTATTCTACTTAGTAAGAACACTGAACAAATATGAAGTCAACCAATCACAGTTCATATTTGGTCAACAGACAACTATTATTATTTTTCTTTCAAATAAATGACAATTCTGTCAAATTGTCAGTATAATTTTAGTTATTGGGATTAAATATTATTAAAAATTAGTTATTTTTGTGAAGAATCGATAAATAATAGCGTTTCACAAGATATTCACCTATATTTACAAATAAATCAAATTTTAATAAAATATATGAAATTAATATAATTATGAGTATTAAAATTAAAATGTTAGGTTTATCGATGGAGCTGAGTATGGCGTATTGAGCTGTCATGCTGCCTAGGATAATGGACTAAGTAAATAAAATCCTGTTCTCTTTTTTTAAGTTTATTTTATTTTATAAATTAGTAAAATTCCTAAATATTATTAAATTAATTATTTTTATCTTATTAACTTAACATATATTTTAAAATTGGTATATTTACTGTAGTGGGTCGTAGACGAAATATACTGTACAGCTCAAGAGGATTATACGTATATGGCTATCATATCCACTCTTGTTGCACAAAATACTATTCCAACCTAAATTTTTAGAAATAAAACCATCCATATATACTATATATAATATATACTCAGGCCTATGCAAATTTCTACCATTATTGCGTCCAGAAATTTGGCAACATTGCATGGACGCAACAATGTATAATATACAACAAAAAGGAGTCAATAAACTTACTTTTTTGAAAGGAGTCAATAAAGTGCTAAATATCTATAAAAATTCGAATAATTAAAAACCTGTTGAAAATAAATATTAAAACGTCCACCCTACTATAAAAAATATTTTAAACCAATATACGCGCCTAAAATTGATCTAAACCCACGAATTAAGGGAGACGCAACAACGCTGGATTATATATATATATATATATATATATATATATATATATATATATATATATATATATATATATATATATAAGAGAAGGTTTAGTGCGGTGAAACAATGTAAAAGATAAAAGGATTATTGGGCAAATACCGCAAAAAATTAAAAAAATAAAAAGCCTAAAGGCAAACCGTAGACACGTGTTTCTGACTATTGGTCTTCATCAGTACGGTGCAGCTAAGTTCAAAAGAGAATGGAACTAGCAATGAAATCAAATCAATAGGAGATCACTCAAGAAGCCAACCACACATTTGTGGACTGTGCTAACATTCCCAGTGATTACTAGGAAAATATTAGCGTCGCCACGGAGGTAAGTTATAGCTGCTATGAAGATGCATCCAAGCCCAGGGAAACTAAACAAGAGAAGGTTTTTTCACCGCACTAAACCTTCTCTTGTTTAGTTTCCCTGGGCTTGGATGCATCTTCATAGCAGCTATAACTTACCTCCGTGGCGACGCTAATATTTTCCTAGTAATCACTGGGAATGTTAGCACAGTCCACAAATGTGTGGTTGGCTTCTTGAGTGATCTCCTATTGATTTGATTTCATCGCTAGTTCCATTCTCTTTTGAACTTGGCTGCACCGTACTGATGAAGACCAATAGTCAGAAACACGTGTCTACGGTTTGCCTTTAGGCATTTTTTTTTGCGGTATTTGCCCAATAATCCTTTTATCTTTTTTATATATATTACACGTAAACACTGATGCACGCAGAATTTACTATATCTAGTACAATTGTGAATTGTACTAGACTGCTAACACTGGTTTGGCAACCTTGTTTGTGAGCGGCGCGCCAATTGATGTATTCTTTTGCAGTTTGAAGGATATGTTGGCGTGTTGTATTCTCTTTTAGCTATATGCATTCGCTGAATCGTCTCACTCGTGTTAGGCTCACTCATCATAATGACCAGTATATTTAGGTATACTGTGCCACAGAGACGCGATCAGCCAGAGGGCAATGATGTACCAAAAAATATAGATTAACACGTATGAAAATAAATATATTAAAATAAAATTTATATTTTTATATTATTTATGTAATTTTAAAATAATGTGTTTTTATGAAATTTAACTGGGTGTTCACTGCACAAATGAACCAGTGGAGAAACCGCATCTGCTTGTAAATATAATCTAAATAATTTAAATATTTTAAATCAGTATTGGCAACACAGCAACAAGATATACCAATCGCCTCTATATAAATACAAGTTTTATGGGCGTACAGAAAGTCAAAATTATTTAATGGAAAGTATGATTTTTTGAGTACTAAATATGTTATAATATTTTAATACATTTTTATATTATCAAGAATAAAACGTGTTTTAGTAAATATTTGAACTAATTCTAAAATTATCAAAATGATGACCATAACATTTTTCGCGACATTTTCTGAATTGCAATATTTTTAGATAATTTAAAAATAAGTAAGGCTTTAGAGAGGGTAATTTAAGGAACTTGTTAGCAAGTAAACAAATTTTTGTTAATTGCATTACGGTAAAGCACATTGCAGTCAAGAGCGGAGAGTGCGGGGAACTAATGCAAACCGTAGTCAGCGCTCCTCCAGGCAGGACGATTTGAGTCGCCTTGAGTGATCAGCTGTGGTTGTTGGCTGATTCTCATGCATTTTGTTCTATCGGTAATCACTTGGTAACCAAATAATTGTTTGACTTGATAATTAATAAAATCTAACATGCTATACCTATGTGTTTTAACAAAATAAAGGTATATGTTAAAAATACTAGTATTATACAAATTTGTTTATTTTCTATAGCTTTTGATATGGTGTTGCTTAAGTACATTACTTCAAAAACTTCCGGGTCAGAATATTTTGACTTAAAGAAAGTTATTGAAATGATCAAGTGGCAGGTTTATCTTAATGGTGTTACGAGTGATATGAGAGCTGTAACTTTTAGTGTTCCGCAAGGTTCTATTCTTTGACTTTTACTATTCACTTTATGTAAATAATTAATTAAAAATGAATATAGACGATGCCATTATGAGTTTTGCGGATGATACGCCATATTTTCTAAGAGATACACTTGGAAAAACCTAAAAGTTATGATAGAAAGCTGATTTTTCTATTATTACAAAAAGGCTTGCATACAAAAAATTCACTTTGAACTTAGAAAATACCAGTTATCCACTTGCAATTTAAGTAACTTGCCAGACCTAGCACCATTGATAATCTACCAAACTAAGCAGTACATTTAACTTTTACTTGCATACAAACCCATCTTGCTAAAAAGATAAGAGGTCTTATTAGTAGATTTAATTTTTTAATGGAATACCTGGATATACTTTATTTACATATTATGGTATACTGGGTATATTGGGATGAGGGAGAGTTTAAGTTATCCAACGGCATAAAATTTGCATTTTACAAAAATGGATTCAAACTGTGACCGAGGAAAAGAAGACCGAGGAAAAGATAGTGAGTGGATGTACTAGGATACTAGGAATATCAGACTGGAAATCGAAATAGTCGGACCTACCAAAATTTGTAACACTATACTACTAGAGGAAAAGAGGAGTATGAAGAAATCGGTTAGAGTGTTCTTTAAAACGTTTATTTAATAGAGTATAATAATTATGATTTGGATTTTTTAAATCGTTTTAAATAGTTTTAAATCGTTTTAAATTGTTTCAAATCGTTTTAAATCGTTATAAATCGTTTTAAATCGATTTAAATAATTTTAAATCGTTTTAAATAGTTTTAAATCGTTTTAAATCGTTTTAAATCGTTTTAAATCGTTTTAATTTGTTTTAAATCGTTTTAAATCGTTTTAAAATCGTTTTAAATCGTTTTAAATCGTTTTAAATTGTTTTAAATCGTTTTAAATCGTTTTAAATCGTTTTAAATCGTTTTAAATCGTTTTAAATCGTTTTAAATAGTTTTAAATCGTTTTAAATAGTTTTAAATCGTTTTAAATCGTTTTAAATCGTTTTAAATCGTTTTAAATCGTTTTAAATCGTTTTAAATCGTTTTAAATCGTTTTAAATCGTTTTAAATCGTTTTAAATCGTTTTAAATCGTTTTAAATCGTTTTAAATCGTTTTAAATCGTTTTAAATCGTTTTAAAATCGTTTTAAATCGTTTTAAATCGTTTTAAATCGTTTTAAATCGTTTTAAATCGTTTTAAATCGTTTTAAATCGTTTTAAAACCGTTTTAAATCGTTTTAAATCGTTTTAAATCGTTTTAAATCGTTTTAAATCGTTTTAAATCGTTTTAAATCGTTTTAAATCGTTTTAAATCGTTTTAAATCGTTTTAAATCGTTTTAAATCGTTTTAAATCGTTTTAAATCGTTTTAAATCGTTTTAAATCGTTTTAAATCGTTTTAAATCGTTTTAAATCGTTTTAAATCGTTTTAAATCGTTTTAAATCGTTTTAAATCGTTTTCAATCGTTTGACTTAGTTTTAAATGGTTTTAATTTATTTTAAATAGTAATTAATCTACACCCACCAGTGAAACGAAAATACTCTTGCGTAAAAAAATTTTTCCGACTTTGAAGTCTAAAAAAAGAATTTAATGAACACGTTGTGCAGTAATATTACATGTGTTTTCATAAATATAAATTGACCTAGAAATTTAACCATCCCCTTCTGTAACACTCTTGTGCAAACCAAAACACCCTATCCTTATCGTCAGTAGTCAGATGCTTCGTATTCAATTTAGGAGTATCTGAAGTATTATCCTGATCTAACGAAAATTCTTTAGGACCCCTTACAACAAGGCAAAGCATAAACATTACTCTTCCGAATTCATATTTACCGCAAGCAGATATTTCGTCTAAAAATTTTTCGTAAGAAAACGCTTCTGTCTGACACTTATGGTCGACCAAAGTTTGAATGAAATTTTCATGGTAAAAGTGAAGTAAATTATCCAAATTTTCTTTTAAAACCTCAGTTTGTACACTGGTGAATAAAAAGAAAAATAAATCGACAATAGGGGAATCGTAAGTATACATTTGGAAATCAACAATTTTTACGTCGTTTTTGGAATTTACCATGATATTGTTCACCCAAAAGTCCCTATGTACTACGGTAGAGAACGGTTCTCTATAAATTTCCGGAAACAGTAAAAAATATTCGATTGATTTTTCTAAAACACCCGTCAAATGTCTGCACTCTTCTGATTCCTCTAAAAGCTTGACCAACTCCGCAGTTTCGCTTGATAAATTGACTTTTGGTAATTTTGGTAAGAAGCAGCTGAGATGTGGTTTGATTTTTTGCTCAAAAACTTCGGGTTCTTTTAATTTGATTGCCAGAGGTATCGCGTGAAACTGCGCCAGAGTTTTTAGAATGGTTCTGCTCGTGGATAAGTCGAAACCAACAAATCGATCCAGATTTTTATAACCTAAAAAAAATAGACAATAATTGACAATATTATAAAGAGTTTGATATTGAAGATATCAGGAAAGTATAAAACTTTTTAGTTTAAATAGGTGCTGGCATAGGCTTAACATTATCCACCCCAGGCTGGCAAAATTGTAAAGCAAGTAGATTTTACGAAGCAAAACGTAATATACAATTTTATTAGTGGTAAATTTATGGTTAAATTTTATTAGTGGTAAATTTATGGCTAAATTTTATTAGTGGGGGTTTCAATTGATTCCCATTCCCCCATTCCTCATTCCTCATTCCCCATTCCCATTAGTGCGTATTTATTTAATATTTCAGTTTATGTTATTGACACGCAAGCAAGCTTCAAACAAATAGAGGACTTTATTTTGCACCACCTTATATTTCTTATAAATTTAATTATCTAATGATATCAACATATTAGTCAATAATACATATACAGGGTGTCCCATCAGTGCGTAATTGATCAATAGTTGCTTTATTATTGGAAATTCGAAAGAAAAGTTGTATGACCATGTTTAGTATATATTCTTAATTATGACAAAACATACATTAATAAAGCAAAATACCCTACAGGTATTTGATTGTTTTGACATCTTAAAGCAATTTTAATATACTTCATTTATTTGCTATGTTTTATATAGAGTATGTCGAAATGCATAGTAACGATTTTCTCAATTTTTAAATGGAATACCCTATATGTTTTACCACGAATTAATTAATACTGTGTACTCCATTTAAAAAATTGAGAAATTTGTAACCACACGTTTTGCATATCAAATGAATAAAGTCAATTAAAATTGTTTGACGATGCGAAAACAATCAAATATGTATAACTACCTGCAGGTTGTTTTGTTTTAAAACATATAGATTTGGTCAACACCTCGTTTAGGGACTACCCTGTATATTTAACAATAATTGTAAAATATCATCATTTAATTTTTATATTAAATCGTATTTCTTCGTATTTCTAATAATGAAACAGATATCAATCAATTACGGACTGATGAGACACCCTGTACATGTGTGATTGGTTAACATATTAGTATCGTTGTATAGGCAAATTTATATGGAATTTTTGAAAAAACTAAGTAAATTGAACTTAAAAGTGGCCATATTTAAGACATGTTTCAAAATAAAATAAACCAGTTCGATCACCACTATTCGTTAGCTTAGTATCTTATAAGTCTGTATATTAAACAATTTTGAAATCAACCTACCTGAATTATGATAATTTAATTTGGGGTCTGCATCATTCTCTAATTTAAAAAAAAATAATTGCTAGGCAAAACTGAAATATTTTTTAAAAAATTCAAAATTTTTATTTGCCAGGTAAAAATGCAATACCCTGTATGTCCAAAAATATTTTTAAAATATGTATTTTTCAAATCCAAGTAACTTTAATTTGAAACTTGTTTGCGTGCCTATAACACAAATTTAAATATTGGACAATTACGCACTAATGGGACACCCAGTATGACTGTAAGATTCTATTCCAACATTGTAGTAGATTAAATTGTCTCTAAGATTACCAGAAGCTTCATTGCTGCTACCAAATTATGAAAATGAAATAAAACTCGAGAATACTAAAAACTGAAATGAAAAAATAGAAGGAAGAACAAACAGGTAGACCAGGAACTAATTGGTCATGGAAGAAACAGAAAAATTAGATGAATAGAAAAAACCAATTGATAAAAAGAAGTACGTATAGAAAAGCGTAAAAAAATTGGTGTAGGAAGAAAAAGAGTCTGATAGTTGAGAAAGTGGAACAATTAGAAGATGAAATTAACAAGCTGAGCCACAGAGAAAATATAGGACTGTTACAATAACTAGAAAAACAGCTATTTCTAGTGGACTGTTACCTGGTCTTCAAGGGTGTGTTGGTAAAAACTATGGGAATAAATAAATCTTTGATTAATTGGAAAGAAAAATATAAAATGACTAAAGGTTTAATGCAGAAACATCTAACAAAGTCAAAATGCAAATAATAACAACATTCCCAATAGAAAATTTTTGCCAAAAAATAAGTTAGCAATGAAATAAACATTATATCGAATTGACATCAGTCGATATGAGGTAACCAGAATTACTATCCAAGAAATGCCTGCTTCTGAGGAATCTTGGTGAGACGCTGAAGCTACTTAACTATAGAACAAATAGATGAAGAATTAATTAATATTTTAAGATCTTTTAAGGTAGTTACAAAAATTTATGAGATTTTCAATTTTGAACATACGAACTGTAATATGTTACAAAAAAAACCCCTGCCCCTATTATAGAATACGCATACAATTTGTTATAATAAACATACGATAATAGAGATTATATTTGGTTAAGATAGTGGGCCATGTAGCTTTTCCACCCCGACCTTTTTAGCAATTGGATTCTCATCTTTCAATATCGAGACGCCTTTGTTCAACAGACTGTGATTGTTATGTCTCTCTATTCGATACGTAACGTGTCGAGTTCGCACATAAAAATCTCTATGTAGATCTATTTTGGATATCCTTTGATCATTGGTTAGATAACTTTGACTAGTTTGGTCTTTTCTCGTAGAGTCCCTAGAGTAGGAGTATCTCTCTGCTCTTAATTATTTCCCAAAGTAAACAAATCTCAGTCTTGATAGACCTTGGTAGAGCAGAATAACTGTATTGAGTATCCTTCTCTTCCTGAATAAATCGGCACATGGTAAGCCTTCATTGATCTGTTAATATTCCTCTGTCCTTGTAAATTGTCCAACTATTTCTGAGATTTGTTTTCAATATATACTGATTTGAGCATATTCTGATGGGTGTCTTTGTGACACTAACAGAAGGATTCTCGGACAAAAAAAAAACTTCTTGGCATCTTCTTGACCTAGTAAATCAATTTCGTCATTATCCTAATACCCTCTGAGGTGGTACTTAGGTTAAAAGTAGTCTGTTTTGACTAACTAGATCTGTTAGAGCTTCCAAACTGTCCCACACATACTTTAAGTGTACCTGTATGGAACTGGGTGGTTCAAATTACTCTCTGGGTATTATATAACAATGGTTTTTTCCATTTACCTTATTACTTATTATCTTTTCTGCGCAGTGATACCTGTTATATCTACCTGGAATAATGTCGCATGCCCATTGAATTTCTTGACTTTGCCTTGGAACTGACGATAGTAACACTGTGAATATTTTTCAAAGAAAAGTGAATTGAAGAAACTAAAACCTAGAGGAAAACATAATTTCAACTAAACAATATGTATTAATAAATAAGAAACATAAATACACTTTATTAAAAGAAATCTATTTAATTAATTGGAAGGAAATTATCTAATGACCGAGGTTTGGATGTAAAAGCTAGTAAAACCAAAAATGAAAATATTATTACACTTCCAAAAAAAGAATTTAGCATCCAAAGAGTTATATCAAACTGACATAATATAATATAAAGTTTTTACGTAATCTAGATTGGAGAATGAAGTTAAGCCATGTTTAGTAAAAGATAAATTAGATTTGAATTAAACTAAGATATAATAAACAAAAAAAGTAATAAAATAAATAATTAGAATGGTAGAAATAAATGGCAATAATGGAAAATAATACAATCTTAAAAATAATAATGCTAAGATAATAAGACAAAGAAATAACAAATTCAAAGAACAGCATGTCTCAACGTATCAGGAGGTTGCTCTGATGACAATGGTACGACTCCGCGTGGTTGGAACAGAACCTGATGTAGGATCTGGTGAGGTCAGCCGTCGGTTTTGGCAAAAGGTGCTCTTATCGCTTCTACTACTTCAACCCAACATGGACTCCATCTTACTGAGATATACAGTGTGTCTACTTAAGTTGGAACCATATGGAAAACATTTTTATTATTGATTTTAGGAAAAAAAGTTATTCTTGATAAAAAGTCCTGCATGACCCAAAACCTAAAATACAGTCATCAGATATCAAATTTTTCAAGCCGTATACGAGGTTTGTCAAAAAATATTAATTTTGCTCAAGAATAAAGTACGTTTATTTTTTTACAAAATCGACAATTTTCATTAAGAAATTTGCTAAATTCTTCACAAACATCAACAAAAGGAAAGCGTATCATGTTTATAGTAGCTTGCGTAATTTATAACGTTTTCAGATATTTACAATCAATGTGTAGAGTGTAGAGTTTATAAAAAATAAGAAAATCTGTTTTTCCAGATAGATAGGTGTAATTGCATATTTTAATGTAATATTCAATTCTAATCAACTTTTCTTTATGAAAATTTTCGATTTTGTCAAAAATAAACGTACTTTACTCTTGAGCAAAATTCATATTTTTTGACAAACCTCGTATACGGCTTGAAAAATTTGATATGCGATGACTGTATTTTAAGTTTCGGGTCATGTAGGACTTTTTATCAAGAATAACTTTTTTTCCTAAAATCAATAATAAAAATGTTTTCCATATGGTTCCAACTTAAGTCATTTAAGGTTATAACGAAACAAAAAGAAGAGTCGGAAGTGGCAGGTACAATTCATATCTACAGCGACACTTCTAAACCAAAACAAGGCTTAGGATGTGGAACATACTTTAGATCCTTAAACCTTAATCTGAAATGCGCTGTAAACAATAGTCCCGTGTAGTTTAAACCGAGCTCACGGAGATTCTCTTAGCACCAAAAGAAGTTACCAGAAACAATGTCACTGAAAGGAACATGCTAGGTTAGTTTAAAAAACCTCCAATATTTTTTTAGATTGGGGCCATTATGTTCAATATACTTGAAACTAGCGTTCTCTATGAGGTAAGTGTTATTTAGACTCAAATGATAAATTATCATCCCAAAAACACCGATGTACCAATTTTAAGCAATTTACTTTAAAAAAGGACGAATATATAATGAAAAACGTATTTTTAATATTAACTTTGTTACCCTGTAAATTGAACATAATGGCCCCAATAAAAAAAATGATAATAGAGGATTATTGCACTGACCTATGGAATCTATGGTTAACAGATTGGCCTACTTTGTTGAGACTC